GGTGATGGCGGAGGGCCTGTGGAGAGCTGTGGCTCACCTGCAGTCTGGGGTGATGGCGGAGGGCCTGTGGAGAGCTGTGGCTCACCTGCAGTCTGACTGGCAGGAGGAGTCACGGCTCAGTAGGTTGGGGCCCCTGGGTTGTCAGAGGCAGTGTAGTATTACTTGTAAAGTGGTAGCAGTAGTGTAGTATTAGTGGTATTATTAGTGTAGTAGTGTAATATTAATGGCAGTGTTGGTTGTTGTTTTTGGCTCCGACAAAGGTCACACAGACGCATGACAAATCACATTTGCGAGTGATTTGTAAATAAAATTAGAGAGTCTTGACAGGAATTTCTGCAACAACATCTGGCACCAGGAATCGCATGACATCACAGGCATGACATCACAGTCATGACATCATGACTGTGCTCCCCAGCAACTCTGCTCCCGGGGCACCCCCCCCTCCCCTCAGTGCTCAGTGGAGGAGGAGGGGAGCACAGCGCTGAGAGCCCCTCGCACCCCCAGCCTGCCAGCATGTGTGTGTTTCTGACCTCTCTGCGCTGGGCAGACCTCGGCACCAGTCTCACTCTCCTCTTCCTCTCTCTTTTCCCCCAGCGTCCAGTTCCGACCAACTGGAACGAGGTAGGAGGCAGTTCTACTTGGCTGTGGTTTGTCAATAGAGACGTAGGTTGTTGGAAGCAGACTGGTAAATGAGTGTTATAAATGGGTGTTATAAATAAATGAGGGGCATCAGTACCTCTAACTGCCAAAGCTCAGAGGGCAGGTTCCCCCATCCTGGCACCTGGGACTGGGTTTCACTGACCCTTCTAATTAAAACACCCCTTGAATGCACACATGCTTTTCACTCTGTGAAGATTTGATTTCTTTGTTCTGTGTGCACTCAGGATTCTTTTGCTGACAAATTATCAATAATAATAATAATCAGAATATTGATTATTGCTACCAGTTTCAATATATCCCATTGTACAGTACCTGGACAGACATTGCTCAAGAGGACTGGTGTGAAAAGTCAGCTGCCCTGCAGTGTTGAGACTGCAGTACTCATCTTTGCCACTGGGGGCAGACGTCATTTAAAGGGCACATTATCAAAGTATTTTCTCTCTTCTAATTACAGACAATCATGGCAGTCCTTTCCATTACGGTAAGTGGCCTGTATTTTCATGCACAGAGTAAGGTTTCTGTCCTTCAAAACAAATCCTCTATTTTTCCTCAAACCAGTTCCCAATTAAATCTTTTTCTGTATGTATGTTTCATTTTTTTTGTGGTCTGCAGTCAGCGCAGTAAACTAGCTAACAGGTGAAGAACGTTCTTCCGGATCTTTTTTTTAATTGGCAGTTCAATCCTGTCCTGCTTCTATGGAGTAACTAGATATTGAAGAGTCCCTGAGGTGCAGAGAGGGTTCCCTGACACGCCCACCTCCCAGCACTTCTGTTTGTTGACATTTCTGACATTCCACAGCTCGTTAATGATTGCTGGAATGAGCTGTAGGACCTGGAGGAACAGAATTCCCCCAGACAGGGGTCACCCAGCCCTGAAAATACATCCATATCCACAAACTGAAATCGAGTTCTGACCGTGTGGTAGCGCTGATCTGCCCCGCTGGTTTGCTTCAGGAAAGATTGTTCAAATCTGCGCATCTTTGCACTAAACTGTTCATTTCCTGTGTGCCGGCATGTTTTTTTACAATGCTATTGCTGTGCTTTCCGGAACAAGGCAATGTCTTGCACAGGCTGAGACCTGTGGGTGTGTGCTGAGCTCAGCAGTTGGCAGAGGATCTCCGCTGCGATTCAGTGTGTGCGAAGGGGTTTGGTAGCTCCTGCAGTGAGATGATTGTAGCTGGACAGGCTGTCCCACACATATCCCTGCTCTCCGTCTGAAAGGGCATCTTCTCACTTTGCAGATTACGAGTCCCTGCGGATCGGAGGCCTGATCTTCGCTGTTGTCCTCTTCCTCATGGGGATCCTTCTCATCCTCAGTGAGTTCCCTGTGGCAGCAGCTGGTTTTTGAGCTGGGGGGGGAGGGGGTGAATTGAGAAGGAGCTGTAAGACTGTAAGACTGGGTCAACTCATCTGTCCTTGACGGGAGGTTAAAAAAGGCTCTTTCCTTCCTTCTGAGCTGCAGACCTGAAAATAATTGTTTCACAGAATTCCCCTCTCCTCTTCCTTTCTCTCCTCCTCCTCTCTCCTGTGTCTCCAATCTATCTCTGCTCTATCCAATCCTGAGATGCCACGTGCAGATCTGATCTGATCTCTGGGACACTTGATCTGCCCTCTCTTGCTGGGGTGCAGCTCGGTCTGAATTAGCCACATCGCAATCCTATCGTGGGGCTCGCTGAACTCAAGCTGGGATTTAAATTAGTACGGCAGAGATCTTGCACAGCGAAGATGTACCCCATATTTCTCTAGGAAATCTTTCAGCTCGTTGCTGGAATACCTGCTAAGGATTTGATTTCATCCTCTTGACAAGCAGGTGCACGAAATAATTCATCCCTACTCTCTTGCCCTGGATGAGCTTTTACCTTTGGATCAGATTACAAGTGTTCTCATGCAGACGACACTCTGCCCCTTCACCTACACTACAGACCTCTCTCCCATCCTCATCTGCCCACTTCATGGCTGAGTGGGAGTTTGGAAAATGAGTAAATGTAACCTGTGTTTTCCAGACCTGTGTTCGTGATCTAGGCATTTCAACCAACACAAACTGAACAGCTGTGGGTTTCATATCAGACACACTCATTTCCTAAGGCTGTGCAAATTCTTTGTCAGTAGAGTTTGGAAGTGAAAGCTGTATCTGTGTTTCTATTTTGAACCTGCTTACACACTGAGTTTCTTTTCACAAACCCTAAACGTCTGTGTGTGTCTTTCCAATCACAGGTCGCAAGTGTCGCTGCAAGTTCAACCAACAACAGCCGTAAGTCTGGTTTAATCTCCTGACATTAACACCTGAAGGACTGGGGCTCTCAGGGGCTGAACTGAGCCAGTTACTGTCCTCATGAGCCCAGATTCACAGTGACCTTTAACCCCTGACCGCAGACAGCTGAAAGGCCTGGGCAGCACCAGGGTTGCTGACCATTGATCTAGAGTCTCTTAGCCCACAGTTGTACCTCTGATGTCACATGACAGAGAAATGCCACTCCCCCTGATGCCACTACATCCTAACCCATGACAGGCCAGGACCGTTATAACGTTATCTTTGTCTTTTTAATTAATATTTGTGGATAACATGAAGTTTCCAGCAGTTTTGGGTGCTAAAAACTATTCAAAATGTATCAGGTGCCATTGTGCCTAGTTTTAGAGTGCACAGTAAGGGGCGACACTCATCCACAAGACGGGACCACAGAAGGGTCCTGGAACTCACCCAGCGAGTCAGTGGCACAGCTGGATCAGGAGCTCCTTGCAGTTTCCAGATTAGAAAATTATGAATGAAGTCGTTGGAAATCTGAATAGAAGACATCCGCAAAAAAAGTTGTGCTTCTTAAAACAAAACGACCGTGAGCACTTTCACAGCCCTGGGCGGCAGTGTGGTGTTGCAGAGAGAGCAAGCGTGGGCACTCTTCTCCTGTCGTCAGAGTCATGAACCCGCGTCTCGTTCACAGCACTGGGGAGCCCGATGAGGAAGCTGGGAATCTGAGGTCATCCATCAGACGTGAGTGAGATCTCTTTCATCTCTCTCCCTTTTCGCTTGCTTTTGGTGCAAGTCTGAGCAATAATTAAAAAAGCTTTATTTTATATAGTGCTTATATAGGATTAGCCTGGATGACTAGGATTCTCTCAGCTTCCTTTAAGAGTGTCTTATCAGCAGGATATTAACCGACCTCTCTCCCTGGCAGGACTGTCCAGTAGGAAGAGATAAGCAGGGGGCTGAACTCAAGGTATGTGTGCACACCACATCACAGCCTCCCCTCCCAAACAACCAACCTGTCAGCTGCTGCATTTCACCACGTCTACCACCTGAAGACATGAAAAACACAATAGCTGTGCAAGACTGACATGTTCTGTTATTTCTGTGCTACCACTTCTAGTTGGAACCATGTTATTGCCTGTGCTGCCTCCCTGATGCCAGGTCCCAGAAGGAATTATGGGAAGGCAGTCATGTGGTCATGTGGCGTTAGCCTGTTAGAGGGCAATGTGGAAGTTCTCTTCACTACCTGCTGGGTTCTTGTTACACAACTATTGTTTGTTGTACTATTTTATGATTGTGTTACTTCAGATTCAGATTACACACTGTTTACAAAGTGGACCCATCTCAGCAGGGAAATATTCCAGCCTGCTTCCCTCCTAACTAAAGGCACCATTCTGGCACAAATTGTTATCAGATCCTTGCATAATATCAAATTCCAGTATCGTTCTATCAGTGACATATCACACATGGGGGGTACAGTGGTCAGCACTGCTGCCTCGCATGGCTGGAGCCCCAGGTTCAATTCTTGGGGACACCATCTCTGTGTGTGTGCCCTGTGATGGACTGGTGTCCTGTCCAGGGTG